GTACCTTAAGGAGCTGCTGATTGGCGGACCTAAGGGAACGGGCAGGTGTATATAGTTGTAGTAGATCCGAGAGGTGGGGTGGGGGTGGGGGGGCAGGCCATTAAGAGATTTAAAAACAAATGAGAGAATTTTAAAAACAATCCTAAAATGTACAGGTAGCCAGTGGAGTGAAACTAAAATGGGGGTAATGTGCTCAGACTTGCTTGTTCCAGTTAAAAGACGTGCTGCAGCATTTTGCACAACCTGCAGACGCCTAATGGATGCATCACTAACCCCACAATAAAGTATGTCACGATAATCCAGCCTACATGTAACAAAGGCATGGATTACTGTCTCAAAAAGCTGTTTCGATAAGATGGGCTTTATTTTGGCTAATTGCCTCAAATGAAAAAAGCTAGATTTTACAACAGCTCTGACCTGGCATAAAGTTTAAGATCTGCCTCCATTTTAACTCCCAGATTAGTGATGACTGCTTTAACATACTGTGCCAGCGAACCAAGATTTATAGCAGTGGTCTCAGAAGCACCACCAAAAACCATCACTTCTGTTTTCTGCTCATTAAAATGTAAAAAGTTCAAAGTCATCCAGGCCCTTATTTCATTAAGGCATCTGAGCAGAGGGTCTACTGAGAAGCCATTTATGTTTTTAAGTGGGAAATAAATCTGGGAGTCATCAGCATAACAGTGGAAAGAAATCCCATGTTTCCTGAAAATAGAGCCAAGGGGTCGGAGATATAGGCAGAAAAGAAGCGGGCCTAAAACTGAACCCTGTGGGACCCCACAGTGAAGAGAAGCAGCAGAGGATACAAACTCACCAAGCTACTCACTCATACAGAAGCATCTGTGCCGAATATGGCCTTGAAGTCCCGAGGTCAAAATGGGAGACGCCCCCAAGGGTGGTGGAGAATGACCGAGCTAAGATCCTGTGGGACTTCCAGATACAGACGGACAAAACGGTGGTGGCTAACCAACCGGACACCGTAGTCATAGATGTAGCGGTTCCAAATCCAAATTCCAACATCAGGAAGAAGGAACACGAGGAGCTAGAGAAGTGCCAAGGGCTCAGAGAAGAGCTCGAGAAGATGTGGAGGGCG